TTTCATCATCCTTTTTAAGCAGTCTATCTTTGTGAGGTACACTTTTAACTGTTTAACTACTGGTGGAATAGTAAATGGGTAAATGTGTTTGGTCTCATTTCTTATTATCTGAAATTTCTATAGATGGAAAGAAACAAATGAGTAGTGTCCTTGCTCTGTTTCAGGATGCAATGCTGCAGAAGCTCATTAACGACAATTACTTATCACAAGAGGAAAGGTTTGTACTGTATCTGATTACATTCATTTTTTTTTTAATTTTTTGCTTCTTTCCTCAATATGCTTAATGTGTGAATCTTGCGTCTGTCATCTCATGGCTGTCTTACCCTTTTCATGTTCCTGTCTGAAAGTTAATAATCTTTAATGGGTCCTGGTCTTGCTTTGAACAAACCATACTAAGCCCCTGTTTGGTGTGGATTAAAATCAAGTTTTTAGTAAATTTTGATAAAAGTTGATGTAATATGTGGTTGAATTGATGGAATGTGTGGTCGAAAAGCTAAACTCTATTATGCCAACCCATACCCAGAATATGATAAAGGTTTAAGTTTCTAATTTACATGCAAAACTGCCAGTATTTTGTCTCATGAACTATGATTTCTAGAGGCTTCCTACCCAACTTGTTGCCGTAATTTTGAGTCTTGCTCTTGTTTCAGTATTCAAATATATTCCATTACCAAGTCTGCATAGTTATGAATTCTGGTGCTAGTAAATTTTCTTTTTCCATTTGAGATGAATTGGTTAGACTGGAACAAAAGTGATAGTATTTCTGTTGGTCTTGCTTAAAGTTTTACTCCATCCTGTTATTTTGAAAGCTAAACATCAAATTGTTTTATCATTACAAGTATTAAGACTTCAAGTGATTATGTTTGTAAGAGTTAATAAACTCCATCTGGAATTTAAGCAAAAAACTCAGTTTAGCTCTTTGAATAATATAATATCTCAAGTTGACAATTTCCAGTAGCACGAAAGACAAATCATAACTTAGAATTTCCACATGTAGCTAATCATCAAATCATTCGTTACTCATTAAAACAATCTAGCTTTAGCATAGAGAAATTATAAACTCTTAATGACGTGGACCAAGCTGAAGTGACTGCGGAATGGTAAAAAAATTCATAGAGCACTTCAAATTCTGTAACCAAGTTGTACTTAATTTTTGTTTGTATTGCTTATGCTTTTCTTGTTTTAAGTCCTTTAACTTATAAGCTTTTGTAGGGATGTGCTTCGTTGGGGAAGAAATATTGGTTCAGCCAAAACGAGGACAAAAAAGCGGGCGGGTGTAGCAGTTTACAATAGAGCATCTTCACTGGAAACACTTGTTAGTTTCCTTGGATCTTTTGCACAATGAAAGAGGAATTGCATCTGGGCTGTCTTAGCTATTTACTTTCATTTCAATTTTTACATTTTTTATTTTTTTATGTGCCCTTTCCACTTGTTCCCTGAGATTAATTGATACTTCCTACCTACCATACTATCTAGCTATTAGGGTATGACATGCTTTACAGACGTTTTTTTTTTTTTTTAAGGATGTAGTGAATGGGCAAATTCATTGTCTATTGGTACTGTCGTGGGTGGGTGCCATCTAAGTAACGTTCATATTAGGGCCAAAGAAACCTTCATCGTGTCGTTTTTCTGTCTTGATTCCCTGTGAGTTTAACCTTATGCTGACATTTTCATGAGCTTGGGGACTTTTGGGAGGTTTGACTACACATTACTTTTTGAACCATCAATATTTTGGTTCGCGTAATAAACCTTCATATTTGTGTTTCCTTTTAATTCGATTTTGAAAAAAATTCTCCCTAAAATTTTAGCTGAAATAGATTAGGTATGGAACTTGAATTTCAATGGAAAAATGCTTTGACAGGCGTGGCACTACCTTTCACGAAATGATTAATATTCATGATGTATGTTTCTTGACATGTTATGGTTCGACTTATAAAGCATTCTCATCGTTCAGCTTCTACTGAATTACCCAAATATTGAGATATTTATGTTTTGGTTTTAGTTCCCTTGTTTATTGCCATGCGTGCTTCAAATTCGGCGGTGTTATTATTCAAATTCCTTTATGTACTATGAGATGGTTTTATGTGGATAAGATACGCGTGGCTCAGTTCATGATTCGGAAACAATATTTATTTAATAGAAGTATTAACTAGTAATACTTATAATAGGTTGGTTATCTGTACCTGACAAACGTGCAACGGCTGGAAGAGATCATGGTGAAGTTAGGCTTTTCCGCTGATGCTTCTACGCAATTGATGGAAGAGAAATCAAATAGTAAGTTCCGCACATTCTAACATTTAAAAAGCATGATTTTTGTAACTTAATTTTTGTTACACTTGTTGTGTCCTGCAATTATTGCCTGTATGTAGTGAGATAATTTCTGTCTATGCTTATGATGAAGTATAGAATTCTCTTATTTTTGTATATGCATTAATGATTTTTTATATTCTCTTTCTTTTTACTTCCTCCAACTAAGGTTCTTGCTGCTTGTGAAACTTCCCCCACCACTCCGTGCTCTTTGAGCTGTTTTGCCATAAAACCTCTTAGTCACCTTCTCCTTCTAAGGGCTGGCTGATGTTTTGCCATAAAACCGCTTGGTGTTCATCTGCATCAGAGATTAGAACGTAGTAGGTGCTGTTCAGAATATGCAATCACTGATTCCAGAAAAGTTAAGCATACATGTTGGAATCACTCTCTCCTTCCTGTTAGAATCTCCGCAGAAAATGATTTGGGATTATAGTATATCTGTTGTTTGTGAAAGTGGAAAAAGCTGAACTTTTTAGGTGGTGCTCATTTTGTTGGAAAAGACAGATATTAAAAGTACATATACTTGAGAAACAGGGAACTGGGATTTGAAATGGTTTCTGAATGGAAAATTAAATACACGAGAGTTTAGATGTCTTAACATTTCAACAGGTCTGAATTTGTGCAATTTATGTCCCTAAATCCAATGACTTGAATGGGCAATAGAAGAGGTTGCCTCTTGTTATGGTGAGGATTGAATTATTGTTTTTGTCTATGCTGAGTCGGTTCCGTGCTTCATTGACGTGTATCTTCCAACTTCAATTTACCACATTTTTGGAGATTTTTACCAAGTCACTCTGGTAGAGAAATAACTTCAGGCCATATAATTTTGTTTGTACGATTCATTTCATTTTGATCAATTTGTGGTGTCCTTTGCTATATATATAACTGATTTTTTTGCTCTTTTCTTCCATTTCCTACAGGCGGCGAGGATTCCCATACAAGTTTGCGCCATAATTCAGGCAAGATTCTTTTTTTGTCATTTGAACAGTTTTTTTTAGTTGTTACTATATACAAATCATGCCAATTATTTCAACTGGTCATTCCTTCCAAACATTTATTTTCAGTCCTACTGGATTGGGTGTAAGTGCTTCCTTTTCTTCCATCAGCGACTTTCAAGCATAATGCAGACGCAATAGATATATAATCTGCAACTAAGAAGTCGATTTTGTTCTGCATATACTAAGTTCTTTCAATTACTCTTTTTGGCAATTGTTCCTTGTAGATCAGCAGTTGAGATTATCAAGTATTTGTAGTTAAATACTTAAATTTGCCATTTGTTTTATAAATACAGTGCTGCGTGTGTTGGAAGTCTACACAGGTGGCACCCTCCCTTAGTGGTGGCTCGGCATGGCTCAATTTTGGGGCAGCCCAGTATGGCTCCATGCTAGCCACGGCCTACACTTCCAGGCTTGGTGCTGCCCTAAAGTGTGCCCCGCATCCCAGCCCACTTTGATACCTTTACTCTGCCATCTCTGACGATATTGAAGTTTCATAGCAGTCTTTTTAAGAATTCAGATTAACCAATATGGATTATTGGATTTATACTTAGATGGAGACTTTTCCCTGTTAAATATTTTGATTAAGTGACTGAGATTGATGTTGAATTTTTTGCAGCAGCCTTGTGATGAGTACAAAAGACCCCACAAGCCATCAAAAAACTGAGACGAGTTCAAAAGTCCTGTGGATAAAGGGACCCTACCAGAGACCCAAATGTTGTGGATGTGGTTTTCACCTAGAACTTGTATGTGGCAAATCTATCCAATACAAGGATAGCAATCCCCTTTAGCTGCTCTTTTGTGCTATACAAACCTTTATTGGACGAGGAGCGCTATTAATGTACATTATGTATTGACGTTTTGTATAGACGACTTTATCTGTTCAATGAATTTGTTGTGCCTGTAGACTGTACTTGGCTCTCGTGTCGGTCTGAGTGAATAATCTTTTTGCAGTCAAGTCCATACTTTTCTTGCTTGTTGTACGTGAATTATGGCAATTTCATCAACGGGACACATGCTCATGGACTCAATTAGCGGTCTGAATTTTTTTGTTTTACAACAATATCTAATACATGTACACAATCTTCTTTCGAAACATCTTCGAAATCCATAAGGGCTTTGTATAGGACGTGTTTCATGTGTGTGCAACTTCACCACATTGTTACTTGCTAGTTGCTGAATGTTACCGTTTTCATACAACGGTCGAAGAAAAAAAACGAAGACCAAAATAATTAATAAAAAAAATTAGATAAAGAAATCGAATTTAAAGAATTCACACTATTCAAATATTTAGGGTGTGTTTGTCATCCTTTAAAAATTAAATTATTTGCTACAGTATCATTTCTCTACCACACATTCGTACAATAAAGTATTCTACATACAAACCAATAAAATTTTTTTAAATTTTAACCACACATTCCCCAAAAAATACTATTCAAAACTCTATTCTTTCTCTCATAATGGGAGACAAACAGGGGCTTAATAGATTGACTTTTTGTCCTTTCATATTTAATTAAATATTTAATAGATCGAAACCAATTTGCTCTTTTTTAAAGATTGGAATCCAACTTACTAAAAGAATTAATTGAAAACTAATAAGTGAGCTTGTAACAGTGTAACTTGAACTACCTGCTGCAGCACACACCCTCTTTCAGGTGACAGTTTTTAGTTCTCTCTCTCTCTGAATGTTCCATTTCCATGGCGGCGAACCCTTTTCTTCTTCCCATCATATACTCTTCTTCTTCTTCTTCTTCTAATTATTCATCGTCACCAATGTTCCCTCTCTTGTTTTCATTTTTCATTCTTTTTCTCTCCCTCTTCATTCTAATATTCTCTCTCTACACTTTCAAGAACATCAGGAATAATAACCACAACAACGCACACCAAATACATGGACAAGCTCAAAAAATCCCATCTTTACATGTAAATAACAGTGAAGTTGATAGAAATAATAGTATCCAGGAACCCGACCCAGTGAATTTGACCAGTTCGCTTCTTCTAGAGATCTTGCCTTCCAGTTCTGCGAAATGGGACAACCTTTTCAGTGGTGAAAATGAAATTTGCGATGATACGAACGGGTCGGGTCAGGAGGAGAAGAAGAGGAAGAAGAAGCGGGCCAAGAAGAAGAGACCCGACCCGGATGACGAGGCGAAAAAAGAGGTGGATGGGTTGGTTTGTTTGTGCCCGTTTACGAAGTCTTCCAGTGCAACTCAGAGGAAGATTAAGCTGCAGTATGATCAACTTGTCAAGTCCCATGAGTCCAATGCCTTAACTCCGTCTCAGGTTTATTTTTGAGTGCTTGAACCGTTAAATTGTGTGTACACAATGACTCGACTCGTCGAACCACCTTATCTAAACGGCTTAGATGTAAACGTGGAGACTTATTCAAATTTAGTATTCAAGATTGTCTTTGTGATTGATAAATTAAATGTTTATTTAACTGGGGATTGGTATAATTTATTGTAGAAATGAACCGAATAGAGTTGGATTGGCATAAAAATATTTGTGTCGACGAGCTCAAATTATTTTGACCTATAGTTTGGCTTGGCTGTGATTGTTTTTGCTATGCTGAGATGCTATATTCAATTATATTGGGAAATTAGATGAAACAAATGTTTTTTATGCTCAATTTATCTTGTGCAAAATGTTCATATTATCTTGTGCAAGCAAAAGTTCATGGGGTATGAATCTTGCTCGTGCCTTTCCTTCAGATGGAAGGTGTAGTTTTGCTAGATATAAGATAATGAGGGAATCATTTTAGCAGGGGTATAATTTTCGCTGAAAAATCATGCTGATAATGTTACTCAGGTTGTGGACATCGGTATGGACACCACATTATGTACAAGTAGCATATTCCTAGTAAATTTTTGGCGTATGTGTTAAGAATAGCGAAGCATTAATGTTTTCTTCCTTACTAGCAGTGAATTAGCCGAGGTTTTGGATTATGTTTTCATCCTAAATATACAGCACTCTAAAAAATAATTAGATTTCCCTTTTTCGGATTTTTCTGGTTTATCTTGTCCAATTGTTGGGCACTATTGAAGCATATCTAAAAGCGAAACAGAACCATATAAGCTTGAGTAGAAATCTAAAAACCAGACAGAAAAATTGAGAGCCAGAAAGGATGCCAAAAGGAAAAAAAGGGATGTATGAGCATAAAAAATGAAGAATCAAAAGACTAAATATGGAAAATCGAGGCAGGGAATCCCCTGTTAGTTGGAACCATCCCCCACCCCCAAACACACGGCTCTTATTTTTTTGTCGCATTTTTATGTTCTTAAATGTAAATTGTAGTTGAAAAAATAAAAAAAATAGTAAATAAATGGAGAAACAAGGAGAGATTTGGAGATTTTTTAAACCCGGCTATGCTCCGCCTCCTGGAAATCCGTGGAGGGGGCGGTGAGATCCAGCCCATGCCTAAATTCTGCATATGATATGAGTGTCACGATTGTATTTGATTCACAAACTTCTAATACTATCCTCAAGCTAGAGTCCTTTTACACCAAGAGGTAAGTGCTCAACAAAGCTTTGAAAAATTGGAAAGGCACATGAAATGAGTAAGTCCATATGTTAGGAAAATTTTGGTTCCTAGCTGTTGAGTGCATATTTTGTACGTAGTATTAGATTGTATTCGGCAGTGCAATGAACAAGATGTTAATTGCTTTTTCTTTTTTAATACTGTCCAATGATGTCTAATTCACCTTGCCGATGATTTCGAATGTGAGTTATTAAAGATTTTGTCTTTTTCTTTCTTTTGTCCTTGTTTACTAGCCCTTGAAAGCACAAGTCTTAATTAGATGCCATTTGCAAAGAATTCGAATTAGCATCTTGATTTGTTTTATTGGTTCCATGAGATACTGAAATAAAGCATCGTGTTACGATTGATGCATTTATTCTTATCAAAGTGAGGTTGTTGAACTCTAGGAAGGTCTGAATGCTGAAATTTCTGCGTGTATTTTTCCAATTGAATTTCATTCATGTTTTGAGGGCTTATTAACAATTTTGGTTAAAAGTATTTTCACAGTCATGGCGTATTATACAATTAGTGCGGTACAAATATTATGTTGTCCATGTGCACATCCGATTCTCAGAATTTGATTTTTCTTTATGTACACTGAAGAATTTTGCGAGTATCTAAAGCAATACTTTAACACACATAATGCAGGTTGGACAGTTCGTCACTTGCCTCATTGAAGTGAAAGATGAGTTACATCACAAGTATGTTGGCAATTTTTCCTTCCATTCTTGAAATTGGAAATTTGAATCAGATACCTGAGTTTATGTTATGGTAGCATAAATCTTTTCGAGCACATATGCGAAAGTTCATTACAGGCTGGAAGTGTGAGCTCGAAGAGCTAGCCACATGGTTTTAATAATTTTGAGTAATTCCAACCATGAATACCAAGCTAAAAATATTTTTGGTGTTCCTCATGAGAAGGTCTGAGGTCGTCAAGAGGAAGTTCACAATAACCAAAGCCCTATTATGCAAGGCGGACAGATCTTCATTTGACCGTCTATGTCAACAGGTAGGTACATGGGTTTTTTAGTTATAGTAATTTGTCTTAACAACTTGTTTCTTTCTTGTTCTGATGATTTTAATTGTTTGTAACGTGTAGATATTCAAGTTACAATTAGAACAAAAAAGACTTGAAGAGGATGCTTTTGTATATAACTGGCTCCAACAAAAGATTAAGCACTTGCCTGCATACAAGAAGGTATTTCCTTTTTCTTTTCTCCCTCTGTTGATACATTGAATTGAACACGGGTATATGTATTAGGGAACGATAGTGGTGAATTTGCACTTAGCACCTATTTGGTTTTAATAAAAATCAGATTTTTAGTATATTTGATAAAAGTTGATAAAATATGTCTTTGAAAAGTTGATAAAAGTTGTAGGTCCCATGAAATTTGTGATTGAAAATGTGTCTGAAAAAATAATAAGTTTTTAAGAAATAGGGACCAAACAGGGGTGGGTTTATAATATGGTTTGGCATACACTGTCAGTCACCTAACCTGTATCATGGTTTCATATCTATTTTCATCTTTATTGGTTCCAAGATAGTCATTGAACTTTCACTTTTGTTGTGTTGAGGCACTTCAGCGTGAAAAATCTGTTTATGCATTATTTTTATCTTCTAACTAGGCAACAAGGCATTTTGTTGGACAAGTGACAAGTCGTGCCTTTTTTTTTTATTTGCACAATTTGTCCAACTATATGCATTTTTATATAGGTAGACTTAAAAGTAATGTACTTGCAGCTTTTTCAAGCCACATCATCATTTCAAGGTTCAATGAATACCTTGGAACAGAAAATGGTTGATGACTAGAGTGAAACGACTTTATAAGTTGGGTGACTAACAGTGTTTTTAACCTCAGATTTAACTGGTGATTTATAATTTTATATGGTTGGATGAAGAGTACTAATCAACATAGAAAAATAAAATTTTTGCTCGTCTTGGGCTGCATCAGCATGCTTATTTCCAGAATGATTGTCTTGTCACATTAAAGATTTTCATCTCATTTTGAAGATGCTTGAACTCGGTGCTTGCATGGATATGAAAGCAAACTCTGGCGAGCTCGTGGAGAATACAGATGCCGACCTTTCTGATATATCCTTCGAAGAGTTGCTAGCACAGGAAAAGAAGGACGTATTTTGGTTGGTTCTTAACTTAGAACTGAGTTCATAATAATTTTCATCAAATGTTTGCAGACTATGACTACACTTCGCATGTGCAGGCAGAGAAATGGGAGATTTAAAGCATGTACCGGCTGAGAGCAATTTTGGCTAAATTTAAGTTAATGTAGTTCATGAAAAACTAGACCAGTTCTTTGATGAGTTTCAAAATTCCGGCCCATCTATCTTTCTCACAAAAGAAAATGCTACAAAATCTCATATGGTGAATCCCACATGAACTATGGACCCAAATCTCATATCAAAACATTCCATAATTAAACATATTATTAAAGATGATGGAAATTTGATTACACCCCAAAACATGAAAAATAGTAATGTCAACTTTCCGACTATTTTTTGCTCCGTTTCAAATTTTACAGCCACTTTTCAAACTAATATAGTGCTACTTGGCTATCCCTTTACGTTATATCATCACATTCATACATAACTGTCAACTGGTCTTGTCACCTCATCAATGAGGTGATAATAATACATATTGTCACCTCACTGACGTATAAGATATCTCCTGTTCGTCATGGTCGCATTCCATTCTTCTTTTTTATCTTTGACATGGAACAAAAAAACATAATCGAAGAATTAAGAAGAGCTGTAAAATTAATCTAATACTATCGATTTCATATCGTTTAAGAGTACATTTGACATCATGTCCTATTCCAAAATTGGAAATATAATGTGTGCATGAAAAAATTAGGACATTAAATACAAATTTCAACTAATATATATGGCAAAAGAAAATGTGATCAATGTTAATCGCACAAGTTATTTATTTTGTATTGGGAACAAATGACAACTATTATTTACACTCTTTTTTCTACATACTTATTTTTAATCACGCATTGATACAATAAAATATTTTACATGTAAATTCAAAACTTTTTTATATTTTTAACTATACATTTTCTTAAAAATCACTATTCAAACATAATTTTTATCAAATAATGGTTGTCAAATATGGGTTAAGGTCGGTCTAACTCCGACAAAGAACAAAAGTAATTTTTATGTACCGTCTGCATAACTTGAATGGCAATGTTTCGACTTTGGTGACTTTTATGGCTTCATCAAATATTCCTCATTTCAGTCCCCAACATTAAATCGACTTTAGCACATTCCATAAATAAATGTATGATAATTTTTTATTTTTTATTTTGCATTGAAACATATATTTGTATTCTTCTTCCAACAATTTTCTTTTTATTATTTTTTCACTATAAATTAGAGACATACAACAAAGAGTATAAATACTAATTACGCTATTTGTGTAATGTTGGATGACAATTTTGGTTGAGAATGTTGATATGTCAAAAAACCATTGATTGAAAAAATCGATAGTTGTTCGAACTATCAAATGACAACATACCATATAACATATTGTCAACAATATTATCAACTAATATTGAGCACCAAACATGGTGAATAATGCTCCTTGAACAGGGTTATTGACAGGGAGGGGTGACATGTGCTACTGTTTGGATTTTTTTTTTTAACTGTCAAATCATGAATCGATATGTATCTTCCTATTTTTTAACTTGTCATTGAACCTATTTGTGTAGCATAACTCAAACATGGTTCGTATAAATATACAAGCCTGCTACGTGAACAGTTTCAGGGACACAATTATTAACAGGATGACACGTGTCATTTTTTAAATTTGTCACCCAACCCTGTCAAATGCAAGTAAGCTTTATAAAATATATGAAACCAACCATCTGAGATCTTTATTACGGTGATTTCTTCTCCTCGAGTGACCATTGATCGAATCATTTGATTTATCTCTCAAATGGGTTCGCTTCTGATCCATGTTCTACGTTTTTTTTTCCCGTTTCGCGTTATGTTTATTTATAATTTTATTCGATGATGTGTATTGTGAATACTGAGTTTAATGATCGGTTTTTTATTTTCTGCCAATCATTGTCCCGGGGTTGAAATTATTACATTTCGATAACATTATTATTTTATTTTTTTGATTATTCTACCATGCGTACGTTTCATGTTTTGTGCTGAAACTGCTTTTCACTTATTGGTTTCTCGTTTAAATAAAGGTAAAAAATTCATGGTTTGCGCTCGTTGCATTGTTAGATTTCGGATTAATTTGGTATTAATGTTGTGTTTACGAGTTTACTGTGTGATTGATTAGGATTGGATTGATATTAATTTGATAGCCAAGTACTGGTTTATTGATGAATATTGCGCACTGTTTTACCGGGTTGGAGTTTATGCATGGTTACTAAGGATCTTTTAAATCAAGAATTTCTTGAATTACTTACAAAAGAAAGAATTTTGAAGTGATGGAGAGATCGAGGACGGGATAAGCATTTGGCTCAACTGATCTTTTGTCATTACTAGATTCAGTTAAGGATAATTACTTTCTTTTCTTTTGAATTTTATAAATTCATTAAACCTTTCAATCCGCTAGTATTTCCACTTATTTGACAGTCTTGAATATTGTTGCAGAAAATAATTGGAAATATTGTTTTTTTGTTTATCTATTTATTGATTAGGTTATGTATTGGTTTTAATGCTCAAAGATGTATATCATTCTAATTAACCATGAGTGTTTGTGTTATACTTTTGCAAACGATTTGTTTCTGAAATTAATAGTTCAATCCAAGCTGTGTTTATGGTACTGCTAATGCAATTTCTGTATTTGTCCATTCAGATAAAAGCGACGGATGTTGTTCAACTCACCTAATAGATGGAGATGGTAATTTCAATGTTGATGGAATGGATAGTTTCATGAAGGAAGTTAAACTTGCTGAGTGTGGACTTTCTTATGCCGTTGTCTCCATCATGGGCCCTCAAAGCAGTGGTATGAATTTTGAGCTGTAAAGATACTCTTTTGCTGTTTTATCCCTTTTGCATTTAATGGACTTTGTGAGGCTCGATTAACATATATTTTAAAACTTAAAACCATTTACTTCAGTCCTTTTTCTTCTAATATCCACTTCTTTGGGGCATTTAGTTTTGATATCTTAGCAACCCAAAGATTCCTGTTCCTTGTCAATGTTGCTATGCCCGCTTTTACATTTCTTATGCGATTTGACAGGGAAGAGTACATTGTTAAATCACCTGTTTCATACTAATTTCAAGGAGATGGATGCTTTTAAGGGGAGGCACGTACTTCCTAAACTCTGATGTTACTTCTTTGCTTGTTATTGAATTGAAGCCAACTGACTCAAATTTCCTCAGGTCTCAAACCACAAAAGGTATATGGATGGCACGGTGTGTTGGAGTTGAACCTTGCACTCTTGTAATGGATTTAGAGGGCACTGATGGAAGAGAACGAGGAGAGGTACCAATGGAGCACTTATGCTTTAAAACTTCGTATCTTCATGAAGAGTTGCGGATTTAATGATTCGTTTATTATTTTATATTCGTTTGCAATTACGTGTCATTATATTGCTTAGCCGCAATAAATTCTGCTCGTAGTTTGTGTACCAAATAATTAAATAGTTCCTGAGCATGCATCTTTACTCTCCTTTAGGCTATGTAAGTTAACTATTGATCAATCAAAATCTTTCTATCTATATTTTGACAGCTAATCTTATTTTCTGGTTAAATAGATCCCCAAGAAGCAGAAGGTATATTTTCTGGAATATATTAAATGATATGGATGAACAAATCTTTAGCCCGTATAACCATTGTTATAGTATGAAATACTGTGATGCCATGATTGTTGGATAAAATGGAAGTTTTGTTACGTTCCAATAGTATCTATGAGTTCATATTTACTGCATGCATGCTAAGGTAGCTTATTGGCTCTTAAGTTATCTCTCATTTTTTGATATATTTTTTTATTTCCAAGAAGGTGGAGAAACGGACAAATTTGGAGTTAGTTGACCTTTCTCTTCTATTATGATTTTTTGCTCTATTACAGGATGATACTGCATTTGAAAAGCAGAGTTCTCTTTTCGGCCTTGCAGTTTCTGATATAGTGTTGATAAATATGTAAGATTGTTGTGTTGGTTCAAAAATTATGTTTATATCTATTACAATATAATGAAGTTGTTTGGGGTTCTTATATAGTTTATTTGAATAAAACCAACACAATTCAGGTGGTGTCATGACATTGGTCGTGAGCAGGCTGCAAATAAGCCACTCTTAAAAACTGTATTCCAGGTAACTCGTGCGCCTGCTCTGTGCAGACAAAAATTTGAAACACAAATGCCTTACCAATTTATCTTTATGATTAACAGGTCATGATGAGGTTATTTAGTCCACGTAAAACCACTTTGATGTTCGTCATACGTGATAAAACAAGGGTATGTTCACCCTCTTCAACTTTTTTGATGATGAATGTGATTTGAAAACTTAATTTGTCCCTATGGAATGGTCCTTTGATCTGCAAGATCATTTTTTTTTTTCTATAGACGCCTTTGGAAAATCTGGAACCTGTTTTAAGGGAAGACATTCAGAAGGTACAGCACATGGCGACTTATTACTGTATCTTAACGTGTTTAGACTGCTAAACTTTGGACTCTCACTATCTTTCTGCCCTTTTTTCTGAAGATATGGGATGGTGTTCCCAAGCCTCAAGCTCACAAAGAAACTCCGTTAAGTGAATTTTTTAATGTAAGTTGCAGAATTGTTGAATAACTATATCATTTATTTACCTTGATGTTACATAACATCTTCTTAAATGATTGAATGGCAGGTTGAAGTTGTGGCTCTTTCCAGTTTTGAAGAGAAGGAAGAACAATTTAAAGAACAGGTTCTGGTTCTGTTTGAATTCTTTAAAATGATACTCATGTTTTAAAATGCATGTGTTTTTGACTGCTATGAGTTCATTCTTTTACCCCTTATCTACTTCTGGATTTGTTTTCTGAGAGATGGATGCTCTTTCAATTAGTGAATTAAGGGATCTATGTTTTTGGTGTTGGTTTGTGTTTTAATGAAGGTAAATAGTCTGAGACAGCGATTCTTCCATTCTATTGCACCTGGTGGGCTTGCTGGGGATAGACGGGCAGTAGTTCCAGCTTCAGGCTTTTCATTTAGTGCACAACAGATTTGGAAGATCATTACGGAGAACAAGGACCTTGATCTGCCTGCTCACAAGGTTTTGATCTTAAGATCTACTTGTAAAGTCATAAATAAACAATTAAGTAATTTTATCATTGACGTTTCAGCTTTTGACCTATACCTAGGTGATGGTTGCCACTGTACGCTGTGAAGAGATTGCTAATGAAAAGTTCTCTTCGTTTATTGCAAATGAGGTATATCTTCATAAATATGTTTAAATGTTTTATTTGATGCGTGATACTGATTATTTGATCCATATTATTCAGGAATGGCGTCAACTAGAAGAGACTGTACAGGCTCAGCCGGTTCCAGGCTTTGGGAGGAAGCTCAGCTCAATTGTTGATGCTTGCCTCTCAGAGTAAGTTGATAAATGTCTGCATTTATATCCTTCCTTCGAGTAGATTGGCAACAATCATCTTTAAACATAATGATTTGGAAGATGTATGTGGCTATACATATTAGTAGCTGCAATTTACTGTTATTGAGATGTGTGCGATGGTTCTTTTCCGAATCCTCTATTCCTTGTTGGGATAACAGTTGCTATAGTTTGTTCCGCTTGTGCGCTCCTTCTTGGGAAGCTGAGACACAGTTTGAACACTCTAATGGGTTGAACTGGAATTTTGGGTTGGTGGACCTGACTGTGGAGTTGGGACTGGTTGCTGAGGATAAATCACAAGAAAAGCATAGATAGGTTGGAGGAAGACAGACATGAAGATGTTTCAACAAAATATTAAGCAACATTCTGTGTATCTTAATCACAATGTATGGAATGAGAATTGTATCCTTGTCATTGGAAAAAGGTTCATATTTTTTGGCAGATCTGTCATGTTAGTTTGATAGCAGTTTCCCAGGTGAAAATGGGCATTCCCCCTCTTTTTGATTAATGGAAATAGGCCAGTTTAGTGCACGTTTAGAAAAAAAGAGAGATGATTGGCAAATTTATTGCTGGGAATGTTCCCGCAAAAAGCTTTTTTTGCCATGCCTTCATTATATTTATTATTTTCAGAAATTCACAAGATAATTGCATTTGTTTGTTTACATATTTTCTTAATTGAATAGGTATGATGCGGAGGCCACATATTTTGATGAAAGTGTTAGATCTTCGAAGCACAGTCAATTGGAAGAGAAACTGATGCAAGTAATACTTCTTTAAGCTCATGTAATTGGTTGGTGTTCACCATGCACATGCACGAAATACATAATGCATATATAAAAACAGTAATGGCATTTATGTCGTGAATTTAGTGAAGCTCCAGGGAAAATCAACTTTTCCCCTATCACTTTGACATTTTTAAAGTTGATGGATAATAAAAGACCTCGATGCTTTTATAAACAAGACAGAAGAAGTCCATATCCAGGGAAGGTGTGCAAATAATGAGTGCATGATAGAAAAATGAAATCCTAATTTCAAGTTGAATATGTAAAAGTTTCAAACGATTCCACTGCATTGATGATTTGATAAATGCATTTTGCCCTCTTACACCTGCAACTGATGTAGTTAGACGACTTGTATGTGCAGTATTTGGCCACTAGCTCCAGTTTAGTTGTGTGCATCCTCTAGTTGGGGGACTTTTCAACTAATGTTAATGTTTAAGGGAATAGTTTGAGAGTTGAAAACAGCGAGAATTTAATCTTTTGGCGAACTTAGGGGGTTAGGGTCTTTCCCTCTTAAAATATAAGAAAAACAAGTTCAATATGATAACTAGAATACATTGCGTTCTTCCAACCAAAAACAGTAACAGGTAAAGGAAAATCCTTAGAACACCTCAGATGTAGTAGCCCGTAAAGAAGTGAACAAATTTGCTCTCCCATAGATCTCTGAGTAGCGCTTCTTTTACTTCAAAAATTCTGGAGCTCCTTTCAGTCCAAGCTCCCAACGAATAGCCAAAACCACACCTTTTCTACATAACCCTACCACACTTTCGTGATCCAAATTAATAGGCTTTTCAATAAATATTCTGCTGCACATTTCAGGAAGAACCCATATTCTGGTGATATTTAACGCTGTCCTTCACGGGTATTGGGTGCAGATAGGTGATTAGTTCAACTATTCTCATGATGTCAAGCATTCATGCTTTGGCAGTATTATATTTGTTTAGATGTTTGTTTTTGTTCCGATGGCATGGTATATTTCACTAGTTATTCAAAATGGGCATGGCAGCTCTTTTACACTCTCTCTCTGTCATCTCTGTGTGGGCATATTTTTCTGCTTGTTTCTCTCTCATTCTTTGTGAAAGCATTTTTCAATTATTACACATCAAAGGAAAGATATTCAAAAAAGTAGCTTTGAATGTTAATGGTGGTAACATGATGCTACTCACATGAATAGGACTTTGATAACGTTTGTTTGGCATGGGTAGATGTCAGATCTAATAGAGTGTATGATATGCTCGTCAAAGTTCATGAACGAGATTTTCATTTCTGCAATAATCATCCATAATAAAATTATTGGTTTCCTTATTTTATCTTTTTTCCTCACGGTCTATCTTTCTTTATATCTATTAGCTTGTCCAGCCGGCTTACCAGTTCATGTTGGGACACATTCGTTCTGGAACTCTGGAAAAATTTAAAGAAGCATTCGATAATGCCTTGAATAGTGGGAAAGGATTTACTGCAGCTGCTTGTGATTGCACTGAGTATTGTATGTCACAATTTGATGAAAGATCTGCAGGTAGAGTGACTCATATTTGACTTTCCATCTCTACTATTCACCTTGACGGGGATTTTGCGCATGGTATCCTACTGCAGTCTGATTTACTTGGAATGTGAACCCCGAAAAGAATTTCTCCAAAGGCATATGAGCTGCAAATATCAAAATTTTGAATTGCCACAGACGTTGGATATTTTTCTTAGTTTTAGCTGCAAACTATTAACTATATTATAACGACAACAACAAGAAGCTAATAAATTAGGGGTGGCTACATGAATATTTCTTCGCCAATCCGTATCTGTTCATTGCTAGATAACTGAAAGAGCTAAAGAAACTACAGTAGGACATGTTAAGAGCTTGTATGGAAGG